CTATATTTGGGTAGATTTTCCAAACTACAACGCCTAACAAGAAAAAAAAATGTTGTTATAGAAAGAAACAAAAGTATGATGCTAGAGTCTAATAGTCTATAACACACAAATATACAAACATACATTAATGTTTCTTGCATTTAACCCAAAATAAATGAGCACAAAACTAGGGTTTAATGAGGAAAGCCTCATTTCCTTGACTTTCTGTATTAAAGTCAAAAAGAAACACCTATATATATAGGTTATGATATCAACTAGAAGGACAAAATGTTTGTTATTCTGATGAATTTGTTGATATAATTTAAATTTTTATTTAACAGAGTGCGGGAAATTCTAGTGCTCTTTTTCTAACTGCTGCAGCACAAAATCTTTTGTGTCTAAAATTGGCTGAGGAGCTTGGATTAGTGATTGCAAGTCCATGGGTTTCATGGTTCAAGGCTGCAAGTTTGCCTGCTTTTGTTTCACTTTTACTTACTCCATACATTTTGTACAAAATCTACCCTCCGGAAACAAAAGATACACCAGAGGCCCCTGCCATGGCTGCAAAAAGGCTTGAAGCCATGGGTCCTGTCACAACTAATGAATGGGTCATGATTGGCACCATGATTCTTGCAGTGTCTCTATGGGTACTTGGGTATGTAATTTTTTATTCTAGTCTTTTAATATTTTTCATTATGTGGGTCATGGTTATATATAATATATGTGAGAAGAAATGGTCCCCTTTTGCTAAAAAAAAGTGAATATGGTTGAAAAGATTGTAATGTAAAAGAATAAGGGTTAAAAATGTGAGAAATCGCAACTTACTTAATCATGGTTTGTTTATTATAGCATCATACATTCATTTTTTGTCTATTACAACATTTGTACTTTGAAAAATCCACCTTAATTATAGCAATGAAATCCAATTACAAAGAAATTTCCGATTCTGTAATTGGATAAAACTTTCAATGTATAATGATCCAACAAGAAAAAGAAATTGGAAGTAGAATGCTATAATTTGGTAGATTTCCTACGTACAATGCATAAAAAATCATAACAACAATGTTGTAATAGAAAGAAATAAAAGTATGATGCTTCTATAAAAATATAAACAAAAGAACATTGCTATTTCTTGCATTTAGCTCAAAAATCAAAACTAAAATTGTTGCGACTCTACTACGTTACGTACCCTAAAAGAATTAGATATAATAGCATATACCCTTGTGGAAAACACCACGGGACCCACAAAATGATATAAGCAAATACAAATATATGTAACATGGTTTTGTTTTGTAGGGACAAAATTGGAATACCAAGTGTAGTTACCGCAATGTTGGGATTATCGGTATTGTTATTATTAGGAGTACTCGAATGGGACGACTGCTTAAGTGAGAAATCGGCGTGGGACACTTTGACTTGGTTTGCAGTTCTTGTGGGCATGGCGGGTCAATTAACAAATCTTGGAATAGTGACATGGATGTCTAGTTGTGTAGCTAAGTTCCTTCAATCTTTCTCTTTAAGTTGGCCCGCAGCATTTGGTGTTCTTCAAGGAGCTTACTTTTTAATCCACTACATGTTTGCGAGTCAAACGGGTCATGTGGGTGCCTTGTACTCCGCTTTTCTTGCTATGCATTTGGCGGCCGGAGTCCCCGGTGTGTTGGCGGCACTTGCTTTGGCTTACAATACAAATTTGTTCGGTGCTCAAACTCATTATAGCAGTGGTCAAGCCGCGGTTTACTTTGGAGGTTTGTTCACTTTCTTTCTCTTAAATTGTTTTCTTTGTGGATGTCGTTTGACTTTTTTTTTAGGTCAAATAAAATATTTTAAAAGAAAACTTGAGCAATCATTGAAGTGTGGGAGTTTCAGTTTCAATGTCTCAATGTCTGGTTGGTTGGGTAGTGGGGCCCATATGTCAGCCACCTTTTATATACCTGATTTACATCTAGCATGATGATAACCAATTTGTGGAAACGTTTTACTTTCATTTCTTTTTAAGTACGATATTGGCCTTAATAAGAAAAAAAAAAATTTCGAAAGTAGAATGTTGTAATAGAAAGAAGTGAAAGTGCATTGCTATTTCTTGCATTTAGGTTATTGGGACTAACTTTGTTTGTTTTGTTCTGTTTTGTCAACAGCGGGATATGTGGACCTCCCTGATGTATTTAGAATTGGATTCATTATGGCTTGTATCAATGCGGTGATTTGGACGGTTGTTGGCGGTGCATGGTGGAAGTTTTTGGGGTTGTACTGATTCTTGAGTACTTCCATGTAAGTAGAAGACGTCTTTCATTTCCGATAACCCCCTTCATTCGCGATAGGGTTTTAAGCACCAAAGAAAACTACACAGATTTTGTACTTTTGGGTTTTGACCTTTTGGTATCAACAATGAACGCATGTAACAAAGACTTAATTGAGAAAGTCAGATTGATTATTGAGTTGTTATGTATTTGTAGTTGCATAAAATGCATCCGTTTTTAAAGATTTTTTTTTATTTTTGCCCCTACGATGGGAGCCTAACGATTGCGGTGCTAAATTCCAGACAGGCTGTCTAGGATTCAAGCCCTGATGCCTGAAATATTGTTAGTGTTCAACGTTGACCTCCACGTTAGATTTGCAGTAGGTTTACATGGGCTGTTTAGATTGTGCAATTTACCAATTTTTTTTAAAAGCATCTGTTTGTACTATGTTTGTCATGTGTTTGACTAAGACTAATGTCATTGAGACAAAAATTGGAATTATTCGTCATACACGAAAAGGTGGAACAAGATGGGAGAGAGACTCGACTTGCTATTGATAGTTTTTTTGCGAAAGGTGTAAATGTTTTTCTTATCCGTGTTTTTAGAAATAACCCTAGAAAATTTATCTACTCCAGTGTAACAACAAATGCAAACATAATGCTCATATGTTGGAATGGGATGGTTTTGTTTATGGTCTTGGTTTGTACACTCATGGGCATATAGGATAATGAAGTGATAAGGTATCCCTTGAACAACCAGAAAGGGCATTAGAAATGAGGGGTAAATGAAGAGTAATTTACAAGTTTTTCTTCGAAGGGTATAAGCTATTGTAGCATTGTTGGTCTGGATTTGGGGAAAATGATTGATAGGTATGGTTCCAATGTGTGGCAAACATGCAAAGATCTTGATAACTTGTTCCATCATATTTTAACCTCAAATAGTTTGAACCCATGTGATCATATGATTGAAGCAAAAGGTTATTTTAACATCATTAGTAGATGTGGTTGGATTCCAGATATTTTAATATAAAACTACAAATATAATATTTCATTCCTGTTAAAATTATATGATCAATTTGTATATAACTTTTTTTCTTCATATTTTTTCTAATAAACATCTTACTACATTTTGTAATTGATAAATCACGTATATTTATATCAATTAAACGCTTGTTTATGTAACAATTCACTTAATTACTACTTTATGCAGCAATTTTATTTTAAATGTTTGTTTATGCAACAGTTTCAGTTAAATGTTTTTTTCCTCTATTAATTCATGCAACAATGTTTTTTTTTTTTTTTTTTTTACTGAATAATGCATCCAAAACAAATTATTAAATCATGATTCATAGATGTTAAACATGGTGCAATACGATTAGTTTTTCAAATTTGTTACATCACATTTTACAATTACCTTTACATCAGTGCAATACCAATTTTCTTTCAAATATGGTCCAAACACATCAATAACTTCTTTATATTTTTTTTAATAAAGTATTTACTTTAATATTAATTCAATAATAAAATAATATGAATAATAACCGTATATAATACAAACATAAACAATTACAAATATACATACTCATCAAATAATAATGAATTTGACCATCAAATAATAATGAATTTGATGATTAATCTGAAGAAAAAGAAAAGAATAATGTTGAAAACAATTTGGTTAAATACATATGGTTAGGGCTGTAAACGAACCAAACGAACACGAACAAGGTCTTGTTCATGTTCGTTCGTTTAAGTTAGCCGAACAACAAACGAACACGAACGGATAAACGAACGAGATATTCTTGTTCATGTTCGTTCGTTTATCAAATTACCTTGTTCATGTTCGTTCGTTTATGTTCGTGAACATGCTAAACAAACATAAATGAAGAAAGATAAAAAAAAAAAAAAAAAAAAAAAACAATTGAACATATATGAACATAAACGAACATATAATATAGCAATATTATAAAAAATATATATATAAATAAAGTTAAACAAACGAAGATAAACGAAATCATAAATGAACGAACGAGACCATTGTTCATGTTCGTTCATTTAACTTAACGAACGATAATTTTTGTTCGTGTTCGTTCATTTATTAAATAAACGAGCATAAACGAACTTCCTGCCGAACAGTTCACGAACGGTTCGCCGAACGTTCAGTTCGTTTACAACCCTACATATGTTTAAAGTAATAAAAAGGAAATTAATTAATTAGAATATTAATATAAATAAGGATGTAGTATATAAATAGTTTTATATAAATATGATAGGTCCCATTTATGTTTTATAAGCCTTTGTTTATGTTATGTTGGCTTTATTCCACATGTCTTTTAAAAAATATGTATGATCTTATAAGTAAAAATGTAAAATGACTTTTTTATTTTGGTCCAAAATAGAATGTGTTATAAAAAAGAGGAGTAAAACATCATTAAAATACACACATATAAATGTGTATTTGATAAAATTAGTTGTAGCCAATAGCTAGAAGGTATAACTTTTATTTATATAAAAAACAATTTATATAAAAGTGTTTGACAAAAATAGTTATAAACTTTTGAAATCTATAAAATAACATAAATTATAAAGTCCAAAAGTAATAACTATTTGATAGTTTTTGGATTGACAATATTTTGCTTAAAACAAAAATTTTAAGATTGCTCCCAAACAAAGTTTTTTTTTTTTTAATTAAAAAGGTAAAAGCATCTAAAAGCTTTCAAAATCTCGTTGTTGAACATACACAAACTGTTATTATTCTCAAAGTTGACCTCGACATGGATATTATCAACTCGCTTTTGGTGATTTACAAAATTAGCAAAATCAATTAAATTTTTATACCACTGTATACCTCTACAAAACTTTTACCAACATTATGTATACTCAACAGCATCTATACTTCATCTCACAAACAATAAAACATTTTTCATTTTCTATCATCTTTTACACCTACATCACCACATACGCCAGACTCATATGATAATCATATCCCGAACTTCAAGAGATTTTAAGCTTCTTAAGGATCAGTTCTTCTTGCATGGCATCTGCAACATTAGTCAAGGCCTTTTTTCCAATTTAAAAATAATATCAATGTATTATAACTTATAAGCTAAAAGAGAATTTTTTTTTTTTTTTAAAAAAAGGATACATTCTTGATCAGGGTTATCAGTGAAATTAGAGTGCAATGCATTCCCAACACTATCAACAATGGCCGATGTTGTCATAGATGACTCGATACATAAGATCGCTGTGATGGCATCTAATCGAGTCACTTCGTTTCTAAACATCAATCGTGCATGTGCTACAATCATGATACGTCAATACACAGTACACAATACACAGTATACAGTATAAAAGATTTACCTTGAGCAAGTCGAATTAAACTCTCAAGCATTCGGACAGTAGTCCTTGCTGCATTTTCAGTTGCAATGCTTCTTTGAAGTTGGTAATATCTCGAAATAACATTTTCCGCCTCTTTCGATAGAGTTGGTCTAAAATACCCTTTTACAAAATGGATATAACTGCAACATAATGTCAAGAGTTAAAAATGCTCCCCATTAAGTTCTAATTATTTACAAATTCGCCATCCTACCTTCTGAGCGTGGAAAGAGGCCACATCTTATCAAGATCTTCATGACATTTATTCTTATCTGATTCTGCCTGAAATAAAGACCAGATTCAGTCATATGTGCTAATGAAGAACAGGGTGCACACAACATCAAGTGGTCTAGCATGTACCTGATCAAGAATATGATCCGAGACAACTTTATCCCATTCGGGATTTTTGGTGTCCAAGAGAACAAGAACTATGTCAAATCTGCTTATTAAAGGCCCAGATAACGTTGTGTTCACAGATAAAGCTGAATTTTGTCAAGAAACAAATTATATTTTGTGACATAATAAAGGGAAAATTAATAATACTATATAATAGTATTCCAAGAAATGATACATTGATTAGGATCATATTGGCCTTTGGGATTTGTTGCACCAAAGACTATAGTTTTTGTACTCAGAGTGGTTACAAGACCTGCCTGGAAATTAAATAGTTTTCCAATATAAATGACAGGGATCAAAATTGTAGTTTTTTAAAAGATAAAGGGTATATCGGATAATGTATACCTTAGCAATACTTATAGTCTGCTGCTCCATTGCCTCATGTATAGTCGCTCTATCATGTTCCCTCATGCTGTCATTTTGATGTTCATATAAAGGTTACAGAAACAACTTATTTTTTACTTCTTTATTTTTAAAAAAATACTTTTTTTTTTTTTAAGATGTTGTACTACCTATCGAATTCATCAATGCAACATAGTCCACCATCAGCTAAAACAAGGGCCCCAGCTTCCAGCATCCATTCACCTACAAGTTCCTTGGATTGAATTATGGTGCATTCCATTCCATCAGGTAAAACAAACAGTTTTTTTTTTTTCAATTCCAGTGGAATCAGCGATTCCATTACGATTCCATCCTACCAAAGGAACAAGTCTCACCTCCGTCTTTGACTGCTGTGACAGTTAATCCAGCACTAGTGCTTCCCAATCCAGTAGTAATAACAGATCTTTTACTCAACTTAGCAGCAAATTTCAAAAACTGAGACTTTCCTGTTCCTGAAAACTTACATATTTAAATAAAGGGCAAATTCCCTTAAATGAACTCAATAAATTTTGAGAAATTTAATTCAAGAAAATAGAAACTTGGCATCACCTGGATCACCAACAAGAAGAAGATGGGATTCGCCTCTAACTTTTGTCCCTGAACCATCAACATGCTGTACTCCTCCAATAAGTGTCAATGTAACTACATTAAACAACACTTGTCTTCATAACTATTTAAACTAACTTTTTAGGTTAAAATTAGAAAAGTTACCTTTTTAGGTTAAAATTAGGAAAAGTTACCTGCTAGCTTTACAGTGAAGAGCCCATAAACTTGTGGACAAATAGCCCGTAGAATGGCATTTCTACCTGTAATTGTATCTATCAATAAGGTATATATGTATATGATAATAGATGATTAACATAAAAAGAACACAATCTCACCTTTTAATGGAGTGTCTTTGAAATCTGACCAAAAGTTTTTGAATTTCTGAATAACATCATCAGGGATTTCAATATCCAACTTTATCTCATTTATTCGCCTATAGCAACAAAACCCAAGTTAAACCAAAAAAAAAAAAAAAAAAAAAAAAAAAAAAAAAAAAAAAAAAAAGATAATATGCCTATTAATTAGTACCTCACATAATTGGCCACAAATACAGGTTCAAGGTCACAGCGAACATCCTTCAAATCTGGTGACCATTTAGCTGTCAAAACTCCTGTGACAATAACATCATCTGCAGATAATCTTATAAAATAATTAGCCTCCAAAATTCATCCTGCAAAATATTAAAAAGATTACATGATACCTCCAGCTTTAACAATGTCAACAAGATCATCCTGCAAAATAACAGGAATTGAACGTGGGATTGCCCCAACACCCAAAACTTGAGTGCTTTCTTGAATCTTTATCTCCTGGTAATCATGACACACTTTGTTGCCTTCTAGAAGCTGGAAACTTGTGCTTTCACAGAATTTGGGCTTCTGTAAAGATTATAACAAAAAAATATAGGTGGCAAATTTGTAATTTTGTTGTATACACTTACAGAAACAAGTAAAGAGTGAAAAATCAAAAATGACCTGAAAGGGGCAAAAAATGGGCTTGGGTATGGAATTTCTGCTTTCGAGTTCGGGATGAACTTTAAACCTACAAATCAAATAATCAAGTTTGTATGGTATTTGAAGATAATAATGTTTTATAGCTAGGAAAAGAACAGTTTAATGAAAAGCAACCTCTTTTTACATTTCCTGCATTCATATTCCCTTTCCCCTTCTATCATCTTAATTGATCCAGACCTAATTACTGTTCCTTTCAGAGTGAGAAGAACACCACGATGCTTCACACGAACACGTCCAATGCTTGGACATAATTCTACATAATAAGAAACAGTGAAATTCATGAAGTAAACAGAAAACTTATTGCAAAAAGGGAATTTTACCAGGATTATCAAGCATAGGACCACGGATTTCAATCCGAACATGCACAAATTCCTTGATAGTTGGAGATGGACGTTCCAGGCCTTCCTTATAACTTTCATTCTCCCAAATTTTCTTAGTCTGTTCATACATGATCTCCTAAATCCAAAACACTTATGACTTTCATGTAAATGTATTAACTACAATGGAAGATTGTTATGGAAGAAAAATGAAACCTGAGCCAATTTTGCTGCTTCGTCGAATAAAGGCAAGTACTTTGTTGGTTCGAAAAGGATTTCATGAGCAAGCGGAGAATCTTGCTCCATCACTTCAGCAAAACTGGTAGCAAAAACGAGAGAAAAAATCAATTGAGATTAGTGATTGAACAGGCTCCATAAACTATAATATCCGTTGTCCCCAATAAACAGAGTTTAGTCTTTTCTGTTTTAAAACTTTAAGGCTAAGACTGTTGCTTCTTTTGGGATACGTACTCTACATAGAGGGGGTAATGAAGGCGATGGTCGGAGGAGTGAAGGATCGATTGAAGCTGGTCGGAGTGATATTCCGTCAAGAAATCCGATAGGGTTTTCTTTGATCCGTCGTCGTCGTCCATTTCAACAACTAATTCGATACCACCGGAGGACCACTTGAAGAAGGTACGCCGGAGAGCTAAGGGGTTTCTATGGATTTGGCGGGAAAGAGGTGCGCAACAAATTGCAAAAACGAGGCAATTTAGTGATAGGAGGGCAAAGAAGGAATATCGACATAAGTGATGACTTTTTATTTTTGTATCAACTAAAATTGCCATATATATATATATATATATATATATATATATATATATATATATATATATATATATATATATATATATATATATATATATATATATATATATATATATATATATATATATTTTGTCAATTTTAAAAAAAAATGACCTAATTGTCCGGAATGTGTCATTCACGACACAAATTCAAACATTTGCCAATTTATAAACACATTTTGGAATGTGGCATGTATAAAGGCATCCTAGAATGTGGCATATATAAAGGCATTTTAGAACGTGGTGCATGTCGGTGATTTTAGTGTCAAATCGTTTAGTATAATCGGGTTTAACTTGAGACAAGATGAACTTAACTTTGGCTATATACAAACATGGATATGTGGAGTGAGTGCACGTTCGGAGAAGCTAAAATGATCTCGAAAACACAAGGTCTGAGAGCAGCGCCTTGGTGGGGTTCCAAGGGGTATTGCCCATCAGCAAAACAGGCGGGATAAGGGTGCAAAAGCTAATTGCCAAAAGCGGATCTATATGTAAAGGATATACACATTCGTTAATTTTTTCCAAAAGCCTATTTGTTCCCAACAAACACAAAATTAAATATTATCATTAATATACATACTTGCATGTTTGTTTTGTTGCAGAATACATTTTTCTATTACATTTTTCTCAAAGTATTGTATCCAAAACATCAAACAAAGCAAGATGTTTTTGTGTTTAAATATTGGATTTTGCTTGAAATTCATATTACATTTTTTTTTCCTTCAATTAACCTTGATTTAGTGATTCCTAAACAATAGGGTCGAAATCACAAATTTTAGAAAGTGTTTTATACAATGTCCTTGAATTTATCTGAGTTGGTTCCTTTACATATATTTATTTTAGCCTCTTCTAATTCACATCATCTATCTTGGAACTTGTTTACATATTGCATAGTTTATTCGATACGAGTACGGGTGCATTGACAAGACAATTGTTACCTATCTATTTTTGTTGTTATTATTATTATTTTGTTACTTTCTCATATCGAGGGTAATCGTCAAAAGCAATCATCCCTATCATCCACCATCGATAGAGATCGTCTACTTCTTACCTCCCATTTACCCTTTTTTTTGGAATTAGGGTAGTGGTATTGTTAGTGTTCTTTAATTTATCCGAGTCGTTGACCGATATTCTGACCCAAAATCAAATAGTGCCCACCAAATCCTGGAATAACATTATGCACACTCCATAATTACTAGAAAAATGACATGCAATGATTAAGAGATTTGGTGATGTGGGTAAGTTTTTGTTTACGTGACTATGTTCTTTCATTATTGTAGCGTTTGAAAAAAAAAACACAATATGGGATGCGATGAACTTATTGAAATTAGTCATATTGTTTCCTTTTTTATCTTTCCCTGTTACCGCCTCCATCTTAGGGATTGATTGATTTGTGGCCTTATTTAACTTATTTCTTTGCTATTTATTATAATTGTATGTTTTTGCCTATTGAAATATACAGAGAGCTTTATAGAGATTTATGTAATATTGTCTCTCTGATTACCTTTTCTTCAGAACTTATCTGAAATGCGGTATGATTTTAGTATAAAACACTTAAGAATTGTGGTTAATACCATTACTTAGCCTATTATGTGGTGAAACATCTTGTCGCACCTCATCATCATTCGGAAAAAACCTAAACCCACCGAAAGAAACCCCAAGAACCTTACATCATCATCATCATTTGTGTTTTTTATATTTACCAGTTTTATTAATCATGAATATTAGTCTAAAGTGTAGGTCCTTAATTTTAAAATAAATTTATTGCTTTATGCTTTCCCTAGGGCAACGGCTAAGGTATAAAGAAGGAGGGCTCCAGCGAGGTGGGTGGTGGTGTTGTAGGAGATCAACGATGAAATTTCATCAATACAAAAGAGCATCAACAAAGAAAAAAAAGGAAGGAAAAGGGAGGAGGGAGGGTGTTTGGGTGGGCTATGGGTTATGGGAATGAGTCTGAATAACATTCAATGTTATATAAATAATAAAACAAGAATAAAAGTCAATATGGATAAAATTATCATTTTAAATGGATCAAGTTGATCCATGATCAAAACTTAGACAAAACAAACCACATGGATTATCCAAGTGAAAATTTCCACATAGGGACGAAAATTGAACATTGGAACAAACCAGAGGGACTATTAATATAGTTTTCTCTTTTGTTGGGCCAAGGTAGAAAGCTGCAGCTGCTGGAAGCCTGGAAAATTAACCGAAGGAGCAACCGACGGGAGCGCCTCTTGACGACGCTTGACCCATTCTCTGTTGAAGGATCTCCTTCTTTTCAACGTCTTTCTGAACACATTCTGTAATTTTCCAACGGAAATCGAGAGAGAGAAAGAGAGAGAGAAGAATCATGTGGGCATTCTACCTGATCTCGTTACCCTTGACGATGGGTATGGTGATGTTGACGATAAGATACTTCGCCGGACCTGACATACCTCGTTACGTCATATTCACCGTTGGTTACACGTGGTTTTGCTCTCTCTCCTTCATCGTCCTCGTCCCCCGCCGACATTTGGGCTGTATGTTATTCTTCGCCTCTCTAATTTGTTTGATTGTTGATTCCGTGGCACATGCATCTCTGGTTTCCATATATTTTAGAAATTTTCTTACGATTTTGGTTGAATTGAGAAAACGAAACCTTCATCGTTGCTTATCTTTCGATATTAACACCAGCATTGTGTTATTCCACCGCCTGTATGCTTGCTTTTTGCCCCCATTTTTGTAGTTCATATCCGCATAGTTTGAGGTGAAAGTCTTGTTGTAGGACTATTCTATTCACATTACTGGTTATAGTGTGATCATATTGGGGTACTAAATCTCTGCAAACGATTAACATACAAAATCAACTGATAAAAGTATTTTAATGTTCAATTATCATGATAGCATAAGAAGAAAACTATTGTATTCCCATTGTTTTCTAATGTTTCATATCAAATGTTCATGAGCTTTCAATGAATGCATCAATATGTGTGCATAGAAGTTTTGATAAGTTCCTATACATTCAGTAAACGTTTTTTATGCTGTGTATATTTTTGTTTTGTGCAGGCTATGAGTGATCAGGCAAGGGGAGGCATTTCTTTCTTTTGGAGTTGGTCATATTGGAGTACATTTTTACTTACTTGGTAAGGCTTTAAAATAATATCTGTTACTTTTTTTATCCTCTTCTTACATTTTGCTCCTAGATTAGTATTCCCATTTGGCTTTGCAAGAAGTTAAATAAATATTCAAAAAAACACATACAAACAATAAGGTGATTCTGCATAACTTGCATCCAATATTCACAATGTGTATATGTTCATGATCTTAATTTGTTTCTTGTAGCCTTTCTTGGTGTTTATATTCTTCCATTTCCATAGTTTCATAACATATTAGCTTCTAGAATCTAGATACATCATATTCTCATAAATTTGTATTGAACAATTTTTCTAAGCAGGGCTGTCGTGCCTATCCTTCAGGGTTATGAAGATGCTGGAGATTTCACAGTAATGGAAAGATTAAAAACCAGTTTACAAGTGAATTTACTTTTCTACCTCATTCTTGCCTCTGTTGGACTCTTTGGACTTATACTGCTTATTTTATTGCATGAAAACTGGTTTGTTTCTTCATACCTTTACTTAATTCTCTAAACCTCTACTTTTCTTCTTCTTATTATTATTCTTTTAAAATTGGTTGATAGGAGAGGTGGCATCATTGGGTTTGCAATGGCTTGTTCAAATACATTTGGGCTTGTTACTGGTGCATTTCTTCTTGGTTTTGGTTTAAGTGAAATCCCAAAGGGTATTTGGAGTAAATCTGACTATGTTTCCCGCCAAAAAGTTCTTTCCCATAAAGTGGCTAGAGCAGCTCTAAAACTTGACGATGCTCATCAGAATTTGTCAAATGCTATAGTTGTAAGAATCACTGTTTGTTTGTTTGTTTTTTGGATTTTGACATAAAAGTCCTTCAAGTTTGGCAAGTTTTGTCGGTTTTGTCCTTGTGACGATTTTTTGTTTGTTAATGCACAAAGTTTGTCAAGTTTTTTTCATTTTTGCCCTTGTTAACTGTAATAGCAGAGGTTTCTACTTTCTAGGGACCAAACCGACAAAATTTGACAAATTTAAGGACTTTCATGTCAAATTTGAAAAACATACTTAGGGTAAAAACATAAAAGATTTATAAACTTAATGGTTTTTTTTGCAAATTTGAAAAACATAGGGTAGAAACATAAAAGGTTTGTAACAAGGGCCAAAAAAAAATTGTTACAGGGACAAAACCGACAAAACTTGTGAAACATAAGGACTTTTATGTCAAAAGCCGTTTTTTTAAATAACATTTCAATACAACTTAGATACAAGTAATGTTTATAATGATTTATTGTATTAGGCTGCTCAAGCAACATCAAAGCAAATGTCAAATCGTGATCCATTGAGACCCTACATGGATATCATTGATGTAACATTGACAAATATGGTGAGTTTTCTTTTTATGTTTGTAGCTCAAATTTTGAATATTTTTCACTTTCTGATTTTGAATCTGCAAGACACAATGATATTAATTTCTTATATCCAGCTTAATGAAGATCCATCTTTCAAGCCTCAAGGAGGAAGATTAGGGGAAAATGATATGGATTATGATGCTGATGAGAAATCCATGGCAACACTAAGACGCCAGCTAGGCAGAGCTAAAGCTGAGTACTACCGTTGTAAAAGGCAAGTAAAAAATAATTCTATTTTTGTTTTTTTTTTTTTTTTTCTAAGACATTTATGTTTTTTTTTTTTTTTAAATCAGTGAATATATGAATTTTGTGCTGGAAGCTCTTGAGCTTGAGGACACTCTAAAGAATTTTGAGCGCCGAAATGCAACTGGATGGTTTGCTCTCAATCCAGGCTTGTTATTCTTCCCATTATGTCTCTCTTTTTCTGAATATAAAAAAGAAAAAAAAAAAAATTTGTTCTTCATCATATATCAAATTCTTGGAACCCCAAAAGAAAACATAATCCAAAGTTTAAGAGAGTTTTGACATTGTCAAAACTCTGAGATGATATACCTTTGTTCATGTTAGGGACCAATCTTGTAAAACAACATTTATATAGGGGCTAATGTGTAATTCTCTATAGAACAAAAAATATTCAAAACTTTTCTATTGTTTTACTTCTTTTAAACTGCAGGAAATATATTTCAAGCTACAGGCCCGAGCGGGAAGGGAAGCTAGGATTTTGTCTTGACACAATTGGTAATCGTTTTACTTTTTATGCTCCAAAATAATAATATATTTTAATTTTATTTATTTAATAAAAAAATCAATTAACATATGTATATATTTTTTTCAGAGCTGGTATGGCGATGTATTTTAAGGAAGCAACTCCAAAAGCTTTTGGCTATCATACTTGGTTGCTTAACTGCTGCAATTCTTGTAGCAGAAGCCACTATACTCCCTAAAGGAGTTGACTTTTCTCTTTTTTCTTTTTTAATTAATGCAGCTCAAACAAATGGAGTACTTGTACAGGTAACTATTTCTAAATTCTAACTAATATTACAAACCTATCTCTCTCTCTCTCTCTCTCTCTTTTTTTTTTATATTTATATTTATATAGATATATATATATATATTTTTTCAGGTTGTTAGTTTCATACCCTTAATGTACATGTGTGTTTGCACTTATTATTCATTATTCAAAATCGGAATGTTGACTTTCTACTCACTTACTCCAAGTCAAACAAGTTCAGTCAGCCTCTTAATGATATGCTCGTAAGTATTAAATATTAATTACCCTTTTATATATTCATATTTTAAGTATTTAACATTAAAATATTTACCAGACAGGTGGCGCGATACGCACCACCAATCTCATATAACTTCCTAAATCTTATTCGTCTTCCAGGAAATACTAATACTGTATTTGAACAGGTTAGATTTTCATATGTTTTTTTTTTAATAAATTTTAAAGAAAAATGGTACTTTTTTTTTTTACATGTATTATATGTAATGACATGCAGAGAATGGGGAAAATTGATGATGCAGTTCCCTTTTTTGGGGAAAATTTTAACAAGGTTTATCCGCTTATTATGGTTGTATATACCATAATTGTTGCAAGCAATTTTTTTGATCGAATTATGAGTTATTGTGGAAACTGGAAGATATTCAGACTGAGAAATGAAAGTAGTGATGATGTTGATGGATTTGATCCATCTGGATTGATGATTTTGCAAAAAGGTAAGTTTTTACTTGTTCTGATATTTATTTATACACATAAATTATTTTTTATTTTTAATCTTTTTTTTTTGTGTTCATAGAATGTTCTTCCATTACAAACGGACATAAAGTTGGTGAACTTGTGATTCCCTTAGCAAGATATTTTAATGATGCGAATACAGATATAGAAACAGTAAGTTAATTATATCTTCTTTAATTTCGGTTGTATTCTTATTAAAACAATTTCCTTTGTACTCTTGGTATTTGTTTTAGGTTTCCCCTGATTCAAAAGCAGCTCTTTCGATAAACGAACCCCATGATACCACTAACAAAGAGAAAATGAACCAAAAATACAAAGCATTAAGAGCGGATGAAAAAATCCGTACAAATAGAACCTTCTCAAATGCTTCTTCACTTGATATCGACACCAACACTAACAATTCAGAAAGTGGACAATCTTCAAGAACATCGGCTTCTAGAATATCATCAACATGGGTGTCGATGAAGACAAATTTCCATAATTTAAGGTCTAATATGGCGGCTAAAAGATTCATGCAAGTACCTCAATCACAACCACCTCAACAATCACCTTCTCAATCTCTCGATGAGATCTTCGAGAGGTTAAAACAACCGCCACGAGCTAATGATGACGAGGATCTTGACGGTTTTGCTGTGGGCCCGAGTAATCGTGGGCCCCAAAGGTGAAATACATTGATGTTGTTGTAAATTTTGTTATATAGGATGAAGATTTGTGTTGATTAGTGTGTAAATGTATATTTATATTATTGTATACGTGCTTTGTTTTAAGAGTAAGAATGTTAGAATCCATAAGTGACTCTCAACAACTTTTAGTTGTTGTGTGATTTTGGTGGGCCACGTATAGAGGCGTAGTGCATCCATGTTTTAGATGAGTTAAGTTGATATGTGCATAACATTGGCTTGGGATACACTTAAATGTATTTTACTCATGCGTTATATTTCCATTGCAAAATGCCGAGCTTTTATTGAGTGATTTGAGTTTAAATTCAATTGTTAAGCTACGATGAGTTCGAATTTGAAGATACAAATAAACTTTTGGAGTTTATAAGGTTGTGACTCGAATTAAGGGTATGATATCAAGATCGATCTAACGGGATGAACATGAAGAGGATATGACTGACTGATATTTTGGAGCGAGAATGATGTGTATGGATTTAATATCTTCAAACCCTTGCCACAATCGTATTTGTTGAACCGACTAAACAACCAACGCCAACAATTTCTTTTGTCTATGTGCCATCATCTTGACCACGTCAGCACGTTAACCGGTTTTAATTGTAGAAAATTCCCCAACAAGTCATTTCCTATTTTAATGGTTTAAGTGATAAAAATTTAGTTTAGTGACTATTTAACATAAAAGTGTTTTGGTGTCCATAATCCTATTACTTTCCCTTAATTATTCCGTTTTATACTAGATAATTAATTCAATTGTTTTTTTTTTTAAAAAAAATTGATTCTAGATAAATTAATAAATATTGTACTGGATAACTAATTCAATTGTTTTTTTTTTAATTTCATTTTAATTCTAAACAAGTTAATAAATATTTATAAAAAATATAAAATAGTTTTAAAGGTTATTGTCATTGTAGCCTAATGATATTTAGTATATTGATTTAAAAAGTCTCGTGATTTTCTTTTGTCTTTTAGGGCACATACTTATGTTTTACCCTTTTAAAAGGCAATTATCAAAAATATAAAGGGATCAATCGGTAAATCCATTCCTAATTGATATACCACGTGACATTTGGTAAGCGTCCAACTGTTTCAAACAGAAAGGGATAATGGAATCAAACAGTTCATTAAGAAATGATTAAATCCAAAAAGATCAATTTTGTATGACATAAAATAATCAAAGTCGGTGGATCATTACGAATTCCCAAGTTCTAGTAAAGATTTACTATAAAATAAGTAAAATTATAAAGAAAAGGTAAAGATTCATTCTTGATTCCACCACCGATGATGACTAGATGATCGCAAAGACAAAGATACATCTCCTTCTTCGAACCACACTTGGCTGAATTGTCGCCGTCTTCCACCTCCGTCAAAATTTGCTGGTATTCTGGAGGCAATAACTTCTTTAATACAATGTCTTATTCCGCCGCAAATCGGAAAACAAAACACATGAATGATAATCTACAGACATCCCTACGGCTCGTGAGTGCCAACGCATTTGCGACGAACTCCTCATGCAACGATTCAAAGAAATTGCCCACAAAACCGCTACAGATTTCGCTTATGTGCTTATCTTTTTCCATATTCGAAAACCCACCTCTCATTTTCGCTCCCAAATCAAGAAATTGACGACTTTTCGTAGACTAAGATTGCGTGTATACTATATAGAAAGTTAGAAAGATTGTAAGATAACTTAGCGGTTAAGTTTTTTTTTTTACAATTGTTTTAATCCTTTCTTAATGAACTGTTTCATGGAAAAAGTAGATCGAAATCAGAAATTCATTCAAATTTGGGTACCTGAAAAGCACTCCAATTGGAGCTCTCGGAGGTGTCGATGCTAGTGATGATATGTAGCCTCTGACCCTCTGCTATATTTACGATATAGAACCAGCTTGGATTCTGTACAAATTTATAGATTTTAGATATTTTTCAACGAAATCATCTTTATAGATTGACCCGGTTTTCAGAAATTTCTTCCATAATTTTGGTTCCTTTTCAGACTCGTTGTTGGGTTTCAAATACAAAATCGCTCCTTTTTGTCGACTTTAAAGCAACTCAACGATTGTGTAGTACGAACGGAAGGAAAACAAGAGAGAAGGAGGCTTTGATCGAATAAAAAAGAAAAGGGGGTGACTTTTTGCGATTTTAGCAGAAAAAAGAAGAGTAGGATAAATAAGCAAGGGTTGACCGACTTAGAAGAAAAAAAAAAACATCATGGATTATTCTTTTAAAAAGAAAATTAAAAAGACAAATAAACTTTTTGTAACCGATAAACCGGCTTAAAATATGGTTCATCCATTTATTAGAAAGGTAAAATACAAGTACGTGACCCTAAAAAGCAAAAAATAAACAAAGAAAAAAATCATGAGGGACATTTTTAACCGTAGTTTTAAATAATCAATCTTATCATAAAAACCTTCAAACTTTCAAGAAATGTTCGGTTATATCCTAAATCCATTTTATGTCCACAAAAACCGTATATTTGGGCAAAAATTGTCATCATTGTCGTATTTCTGATTTTACCCTTCTATGGCTTTAGTGGGTGTTTGGTTACAGATTGACACGTGTTAGGGGATGTTTGGCATTAGGGGATGTTCTGGCGACCTGCAACTTCCGACGACCCTTTGTTAGAACACTGAGATGAACAACAAAATACCTTAAAGGCTTTATCATAGCCTACAACGATACACACTTGACCACTTCAGCTGTCCCCAATACTTGATACAACATAAATTTTAGATGCCTTTTGTATTTCTTCAAGAAATTATATTTCCAAATTAAGGGCATGAATTCAAGACTCTGAAGATTGATAATCAGATGATGAAAACATTATCCTAGAAGTTTTAATGTCCAACCTCAGGTCGTAAAGGCAACAAATGGGTTTTCAATTTTTATTGTAAAGTAGATAATGCAAAGCTCAAATTTAACAGAACCTATGAGAATCCATAATCATTACTTGTTTTTCAAAGATTAATCTTTCTTACTTTCAAAATAAAAACCCACTTAGATTTAAAAAAAATATATGATTCAATAACCTATAAATCGATAATCACTCTTGTAGCACCTGGTTCTTGGTATGTATTTTCATTTTAGAGTTTTGCAATTTTGGCTTGGGACTCGGCAAGTTGAAGGACCAACTTGCCAAGTAGAAGCGGGACAGGACGCGGGATTTAAGTGATGGACTTGTCGAGTCGAGTCCCGGACTTGACGAGTAGGCTCTGACTGGACAAAAACTCTAATCTGAGGGCTTGTACCCTATTTAATCATCTCTTTCAGCCACCACTCGTCCCTATTGCTCCCATAAACCCTCCATAACAAACCCTAAGTGTTTTGGTGCAAGATCTAAGGCTTTGGAGTGATTTTTTGTGGGTTTTGACCTCAAGGAAGAAGGAAGAGCATAGAAGGATCAAGAGGAGACTGAAGGATTCAAGTTTGGTTCATCATTTGCAGTCTTTGAAAGATATAAAGTCTGTACCTTTCTTGCTTGTTTGTTAGATCCCTTTCCGGGGAAGATTTAGGGCTTTTTAAGCCATATGAGGTAGCCAACCATGATTGTAAACATGGTTGGGGGGTCAAGACTTCGGATCTAAGTCTTGGGAGGAGTCACAAGGCAGATTTGGGTTGCTTTTGCTCCCAAGGAAGGTCCCATGCAACATAAGAGCCATTTTCGAGCCTTTTAGGCTCAAAAGTCCCATGCATGCACGTAAAGTTTGAAACTTTACGTCCTAGATCAAGCTTAGGGGCTTGGATCTATCTTTTGGTCAAAGGTTGTACATCAGAAATCGAGGATTTAGGGTGTGGACGTTATCAACTTGGCGAGTCCGTTCTTGGGACTCGATGAGTCCAAGTCATAAATTCCCATGTATGTTGAGGGTCAAAAGAACTTAGTTGGGTGTTAGAAGGGTTGTAGAAGGTCCGAAGGAGTGACCCAATGTATTTGACTTAGCCTGAGACCTGGAGTTCATAGGACTCGACGAGTGCTAGAACAGAATCGGCGAGTCCAAGGCAATCTCCTTATGGTTGAAGATGAACTCGACGAGTTGTTCATACAACTCGGCGAGTCAAGGCCAAAACTTGTTCATCAGATGAAGGTGAAGTCGACGAGTTGTTCATACAACTCGGCGAGTCGGATGAAGGTTCTTTCGATGTTCATATAGAGGATGAACTCATCGAGTCGTTGCCAAACTCGACGAGTCGAGTCGTGGATAAGGATGGGTAAAGGGTTAGGGACTCGACGAGTTGACGGCCCAACTCGGCGAGTCGTTGCCAAACTCGACGAGTCGAGTCGTGGATAAGGACGGGTAAAGGGTTAGGGACTCGACGATTTGACGGCCCAACTCAACGAGTCGGGTCAACTGGCAGTTGACGTTGACTTGGACTTGGTTGGGGGTAAAATAGTCATTTTACCCAAGAGTAGATATCAGTCTCTGACTGAGTGTTTGTGGGGATTATAGCCGAAGGATTTTCGGATCAGCAGCAGATAGAGGTTTCCCCCACAGATTATCAGCAACTACTTGTTCGAAGTGAGTTACCTTCCAGTAGTGGTGGGTCTACCGCCACAATGCCGACCCAACAGTAGGAGTTGTATGATTAGATGATTGTCTTTGTGATATCATCTAGGTTTTCTACTACCTGATATGTTATATGTTGGCATGATGTGTTGTTATATGTGATAGTAGTAGAGTTCAGTTGTTAGGATCGAAGGGTAGGTCAGACACCCCATATATGTCTGACAGTATGTGATGACATGTTTATATGTTGGCATGATATGTTATACGTGATAGTGGTAGTAGGAGGGGAATAGTCCCCAAGTTCGGTTGTTAGGACCGAAGGGTAGTTCGGATACCCCATATATGTCTGATAGTATGTTTATGTTATGATATATGTGATAGTAGTAGTAGTAGGGGTGGAATAGTCCCTGAGGGTCGGTTGTTAGGACTAATGGGTAGGTCAGCCCCCCAAAATGGCTTGACATGGGTAGGTCAGCACCCCAGAATGGCTTGACACGGGTAGGATGACACCCCAGAATGGCCGCAAAGGTAGGTCGGCACCCCAGAATGGTCGTACGGGTAGGTCGGCACCCCAGAATGGCCGTACCGGGTAGGTCGGGCACCCCAGAATTGATCGACAGTATGTATGCTATTTGATTGTGTCACACCCCCAAACCAAGGATGGGGGAAACGTCCGGGGTGGAGGACTTCATGTAGAATATCACAACAACGAGTATAATAGTGTTCAAAATAAATACAACCATCATAAATATAATTGAAAAAGTTACACCAAAGTATATGTTTACATGATTCAAATCAATTAACATTATGATACAAAATGAATGTTTTACGATTATCGTCCCATCCTCAAAACGCTGTTGATTTCCTGTTTCACTGAATTCCTAAGAATACAAATAGTTTTGAAAAGTGTCAACACAAAGGTTGGTGAGTTCATAAGCTTTTGACAGTAAGAGTTTGAAAATCGATCTTTGTAAAGAGATGTATGTTACCAAGAAAAATCCAATATTTTCCTTATAAAAGTTATGTGGTCCTAAATACTAGGACCGAAAATGAACAAGTATTTGTCATACTTAAAGATATAAAAATGGTTTCAAATTGGCGTAAAAACCCTTTCTTGGTTTGAGAAAACTCCCGTAATGAATGGTGTGTAGTCTTAAATGCTAAGACTGAAAATATACAGCAATAACTGTAATTATTGATATAAAAAGTGATTTTAAATCGACATAAAACCCTTTTTAATATGAAGGCGTACAAGTATTTTTCCATACTTAAAGTAATTTCAGTGAGCTAAATCGACATAACTCACTAATTTGAAGTTAGAACCCGTAAATCTTATGAATTTTTAATACCACATGTGAGCTATCATAACCATACTTGACTTTGACGGCCTCGTAATTGCGACATTCTTCAGGCGTCGCGAACTGAAATGACACTTGTCACCACAGACCTGCCAGTCTAGCTGTTGCAAGCAGCTCTGGTGTGGGTTTGTCAAACCCAATATAGATCTATACACAACTATCACGTTCTCCCTACAAGAGACTCTGGTTACAATTTACAAGACTTTTAGAATTGATTACTTTGGATGTAACCCGAAGCAAATGACTCACAAATTTATTCATTAACAGATTTACGTGAACTAAAATGAAAACCTTTGGTAAATAAGTTTGAGAAGTAAATGATACATAAAATATACCTATTATAGTTTATCCAAAACGTTTGTAATGTATAAGAACTCTTTTATGAAAATGCTTTAGTGTTATGAATCCATAAATTATGCTTATTATAGCTTAATATACGTGTTCTAAATGAATGAATAATTTTATCATGAATGACTAAGTTTCAGTTTATGATGATAAACTAACAAGGAAACACATTCAATATTTAGAACTTATTGTTATACACTTTGCTCAACATAATACAAAGTGTTATGAAAGTTATATGCTGTTAAATAATTTTTAACCTTTCTGCGCTGTTTTAGAAAAGTCATAGAAAAATCATACGAAGTCGAAAACTAAATCCGTAAATTCTGAGAGTTCCCAAAATGTGTCTAGTTTACTCATATTTTTATCATGATTTTTAATGACCTCCAATTTTGGTGAAAAATTCCATAATCACAGACTGGTCCGGATTGATGTTTGAAATGATAGGCAATTTTGTAAAAATAACCATAAATTGTAGAAAAATCGTATGGAGATTTGCAAGTAGTCATTTTAAAACTAAGAACTTGAGATATTTGCACCTAATACAGTTTTGAAAACTAAAATGTTTAAGTTGTCCAAAACAGTCCGTGAATGGAGTCCAACTTTTCTGATGAAAGCTGTTAGCAAAGTTTAGTTATGTTTTTGGTGTTTTAACTTGTATCCCCCCCCCCCCTTAAAACTTAAGAAAACATGAAAATACAGGGGTATGAACTCACCTTGAGTGATTTCAGTAGATGGATGATGGAGAAAAGAAGTGTTCAACTTAAGAACACTTGGGAGATGCTTGAAGATTTGAGGAGCTAACAACCAATATGACGATATTTGGGTAAGCAATCTATGAATTGAGTAGAAGGAAGTGAAATAATCATATGGAGGATGTTAATACTTACCAAAAGTAGAAGAAAAGCTTGGAGTATAGCCTTGAATCTTGAATTTTAGAGAGAGAAGATGAGAGAAAATGAAGTTTGTTCTTGATGGAGGAATGAGAGGAAATGAAAGAAGTTTGAAGAGAGAGGATGGATGTTCCATCGCTTAGAACGTGGGAAATGTCTGGTAAATGAGTGGAAAGGACATTGAAGTGACCTAGGTATGGACTGATGGGGAATAATGACATGAAATGGGTGTGGGAGGTTGCTTGTGTCATAGAATAAAGGAAAGTCAACACTCCACCTCTTGTACTTCACCCACTCTTCTTGGATAAGGTTTTATCCCAAAAAACGTGATTAATCATTAATTAAGGGGTCTTATATGTTAAAATAAATTTTTGGGTGAAAATCCCGCGTTAAAACGATGAAAAACGAAGTTAAAATGAAGTCGTAGTCGAAACCGGAAAAAAACGAATTTCCAGCGAGACTTCTCATAAGGGGGCCGAAGGTTCGGTCCCTTCTGGTGCTGGGCCGAAGCGAGATGACGCGAAACAGCAAGAAGCGAGAAAGAGGCTCGGTCCGAAGCATCAGGAGCGAAATAGACCGAAATGAACAGTAGCTTCGGGTTCGGCTTATGCGAGGTTCGGGTTCGGTTCAGCAGCCTTCGAGTTCGGCTTGAGCGAGGTTCGGGTTCGGTTCAGACTAGTTCGCTTCTGACCTTTGCTTCTGATGCCTTCGGTTCCTAAGAGGGGTTTCGGGTCCTTAGGAGGGTTCGGCTCCTTGAGAGGGGTTTCGGGTCCTTAAGCCTATTTTACTCGTTTTTACTTCGTTTTAAGCCGTTTTTGACCCGGTTAAGGGTCGGGATGGCCCGAAAGACTATAAAAACTTTAAGGAACTTTTGAGAGAGATTTCACATTCTTGGAGAGATTTCTCATACAAAGAGAGATTTGGGAGAGATTTCACATACTTAGAGAGATTTGGGAGAGATTTCACATACTTAGAGGGGTTTCTCATACAAAGAGAGATTTGGGAGAGATTTCACATTCTTGGAGAGATTTCTCATACAAATAAAGATTTGGGAGAGATTTGACATGCTTGGAGAGATTTAGGAGAGATTCTAGATAAAGAGAGATAGAGTGAAAACGATTGAGAGAGGTTTCGTGTGTGACATTTGTGAGTGTCCAGCTTCGCAATGCAAGGTTCGTAAACCCTGTTAAGCCTTGTTTAAGGATCTTACACACTCCCGATGAGTATGCAACATTGTTTTATCGGTTTGGCTCGCCACGTACCACCGTTTTAGGTTAAGCAGATCTAGATGTACGCACTTTTCGATTTATGATCTCTCATTAGAATAGAGAGTTGTTTAGAAATTACATAACGTAAACTCTAGTACCCACAGGCAAATTGAGTCGAACGGTTTTGACTTGTTGACTTCAGTTGACTTTGTCTTGACCAAAAATTGACGGTTGTCACAGATTGTATGGTATGTGGTACGATGGAGGAACTTACTAAGCTTCGTGCTTACAGGTTACAATTTTGGTTTCAGGTACCTCTTCAGCGAAGGGGAAGGAGCTGGCGCGGTAGCAGCACATCATACCCACACTCTTTGGTTTCCGCACTATGGATGTTCTGGGATTGTACTCTGACAGGTTACTAATTTTATGACTTGGGTTTTCAGACTTGATACATTGTTTTATGAGATGATGTGATTTCACAGTATTTTCTCATGAATGTTTTTATGAGTCAGTTAATTAAAATGAAATTTTTGGACTTGAAATTTGGGTCGTTACAACTCTGGTGTATCCATTGATTCTCCATTATGAATGTTAGAAATTAGATGAAGCTATGAAAATTATGAAACGATTTTTACGTGTTAAACTAATTTAAAAGAGTCAAACCTTTGCAGACCCCATCTTCTGTGTTTCTCCATTTCCTTCAGCTTTTCTCATATCTGAAGAGGTGTCCATTAGCATGTTCGATGATGGTCATTTATGGTTGGGTGGGTCTGAATACATGGGCCGGGTGAACAGAAAGGGGTAAGGGTTTATAGGGAACATACTTTGAAATATTGATTATGTTTGTCTAAAAACAGAGGCTAGGGGTTTGCTTAGCTATGATGGCGGTGGTGTAGGCTTTGTTCAGGAGATGTGGGTGGTGGTAGTTTGGTAGTGACCTAAGAGTGATGGTGGTCGTGGTGGGCACGGTAATGGAGAGGGTGTTAACTGGTGGTCAATGGGTCTCAAGCTAAAGATCCAATCCTGGTTCTATTGAGATACATCTTTATTTTGAAGTTTTTTTCTTGATTCCTGCTTCTCTTCTTCTTCTTCTTCTTCTACAAAGCAGGCGAGCACCGAAGGTACTTTCCCGATCCACCCCGTTGTTGATTCCTTTTCCTCTCGATTGGTTGTCGCCGACGATAAGAGAAGGACCATGAAATGTCATTGGAAGTTGCAGGTCGCCAGAACATCCCCTAATGCCAAACATCCCTAACATGTGTTGATCTATAACCAAACACCCCTTAATGCAATAGAAGGGTAAAATCTGAAAAGAGGCCAATTATGATAATTTTTGTCCAAATGTGCTGTTTTATGGACATAAAAATAAACTTATGTGATGTAATAAAAAATTTCTTAAAAATTTGATGGTTTTTTTATGACATTAGCCCATCCCAAAATAAAACCTTATATGTGAAAGATTAAATTAAAATATATTATTTTATAAAATAAATGCGCCTAACCCTTTTTTTGCTACACTATTGAGGTATATACAATCGTTCTCTTATCGGAGCCACTTCGCCGCCGTGCTGCACTCAGTCTCATAGTAAGTATGGACACCGCCATGGAAACGACGGAATCCCGAGCCGACGCCTCCGATAACCCCAACAATGGCTCCTCCGGCGACGATGACACTTCTCTCGAAATCAGCCATCCTCCCTCACTCCTAACCCCAACCGTCGCTCCTTCCCTTGCCGGTACGGCGTCAGACAACGTCTTGCCGTACTCAACCCTCCAAACCACCGGTGAGTCTGTTGAACTTATGGAACCAGCTGCAGTTAACACCGATGGCCTACCTGCACCTCGAAAACGTCGCCGTCGAAAGAAGCAGTTCCCAGAGATGATATCGATCGCCGCCGCCGTAGAAGGCCTGGGCGTTATCCGCCACAAATCCGGTAACAGATCAACAGAAGATATAGATGAATACGAAGACGACGACCCATCATCTCGCCGTCGACGGAGAATATCATCAGATCTCGACGTCGAGGGTCTAATCGCGATTTCCGTTGGATTCCCCGCCGATTCGCTGACTGAAGAGGAGATTGAAGCCAACGTCGTCAAAACAATCGGCGGAACTGAGCAATCAAACTACATCGTCGTTCGCAACCACATTCTCGCCCTGTGGCGCTCAAATGTTGATGTTTGGTTAACCAGAGATCATGCACTGGAGGCGATCCGACTCGAACACACAAACCTTGTCGACTCTGCGTACTCGTTTCTCCTTGAACACGGTTACATCAACTTCGGCGTCGCCGCCGCCGTGAAGGAAGCCAAATTGAAACCCCCCGAGGGTGTTTCCAGAGGTGATGTTATCGTAATCGGCGCCGGACTCTCTGGATTAGTAGCAGCAAGACAATTGATTTTTCTAGGGTTTAAAGTCGTGGTTCTAGAGGGCAGATCCCGGCCAGGCGGTCGTGTTCGCACGAAGAAAATGTCAGGTGGCGATTGTGTCGCTGCAGCAGATCTAGGCGGCAGTGTACTCACCGGAATCAATGGCAATCCCCTTGGAGTTCTAGCTCGACAACTAGGGTTTCCTCTTCACAAAGTTAGAGACATTTGCCCTCTTTATCTCCCCAATGGAAGAACTGTAAACCCTGAAATCGATTCAAAAGTTGAAGTTTCCTTCAATAAACTCCTGGATAGAGTCTGCAAGCTCCGGCAATCAATGATGGAAGAAGCAAAATCCATTGACGTTCCATTAGGTACAGCTCTAGAAGCTTTCCGACAGGTTTACAGAGTAGCAGAAGACCCACAAGAGAAAATGCTCCTAGATTGGCACTTAGCTAATCTAGAATACGCAAACGCAACATTAATGTCAAATCTCTCCATGGTTTTCTGGGATCAAGATGATCCGTTTGAAATGGGTGGTGATCATTGCTTCATTCCAGGAGGAAACGATCTGTTCATCAGAGCATTATCCGAAAACCTTCCTATTTTCTACAATCAAACAGTCGAACGCATCAAATATGGATCTAATGGCGTCTCAATCTCTGCAAACGGACAAGATTATCACGCAGATATGGTTCTCTGTACAGTTCCATTAGGCGTGCTAAAGAAGAAATCAATCGAATTCATCCCCGATCTTCCTGAAAGAAAGAAAGACGCAATCGATAGATTAGGTTTCGGGTTATTAAACAAAGTAGCCATCTTATTTCCTTACGATTTCTGGGGAGGCGAGATTGATACATTCGGTCATCTATCTGATAAATCAAGTATGAGAGGTGAGTTCTTTTTATTCTACAGCTACTCATCTGTCTCCGGTGGGCCACTTCTGGTTGCCCTGGTGGCCGGAGAAGCTGCAATTGAGTTTGAAAAGATGTCTCCGGTGGAATCTGTTACAAGAGTTATGGAGATTTTGAAGGGGATTTTTAATCCGAAAGGGATAGCAGTGCCGGACCCACTTCAGGCAATATGCACACGGTGGGGCCAGGATCAGTTTTCTTATGGATCTTATTCTTATGTTGGAATTGGTGCTTCTGGAAATGATTATGATATACTGGCGGAGAACATCGGAGGTGGTAGAGTTTTCTTCGCCGGAGAAGCTACTAATAAACTTTATCCGGCGACTATGCATGGGGCGTTTCTCAGTGGGTTGAGAGAGGCGGCTAATATGTCTAGAATTGAAAAGCGGAGGAGGTTGAAGTTGAATGAGGGCAAATAAGTCATTTTTGGTTGTTGGGTTAAAAGGATGTAACGAGGTTGAATGAGGGCAAATAAGTCATTTTTGGTTGTTGGGTTAAAAGGATGTAACGAGTTAACATTTTATTTATGTGTATATAATTAGACATTAGAGTGTTTTTAAGGGGTTTTTATCAATTATGTCATCAACCTGCATCTTCAAAAATGTCTGTTTTCTAATACAGTTAAAACGGATTAATACCATAAGATTTCAAACATAAAAGCATTTTTTTTGTTACAATTGTGTATATTTTAAAAGTGAATGTGTTATCAAGTTAAACTTTAAAGTAATATTTGGGTAAAATTGTAAAATAACAAGTCTTTTATTAAAAAATTGAACGTTATTATTGCATTAAAAGAAAATAAAAATATGATATAAGAATACATAAATAAACAATTTTTTCCCAAATTTCTATTGACAAAAAGATAATACTTGATCGATATACCTTTCAATCAGCCATGTTATTTTGTTTGCAACTTGTAAATCGATCAACTAAACTGAGTTTTGAATATTAAATCAAATACACGACTAATGTTTTAACACTTAAATATCTTGTTTCTTTTTGCACTAAAATGATAAAATACTAATATTGATTATTAATTTGTTTATTATAAATCAAACATCTTCCGACCTTAGCTCAGTTGGTAGAGCGGAGGACTGTAGTGTGATCATAGCTATCCTTAGGTCGCTGGTTCGAATCCGGCAGGTCGGAATTTTTGTTTTAAATTATTTTTCTATATTTATATTGTAGTTGTTTATACTAATACCAACATGATCATGTGAAATATCAATGTTTTCAAACAATGGTTGTAATAAAATATAGAGTAAATTACACGAATGGTCCCTATGGTTTAGGGTAATTTGCGCATTTGGTTCCTAACTTATTTTTTTAACTCGGAAGATCCCTACTATTTACTTTTGTTACGTGCTTGGTCCCTGTCTTACTTAAAAAGACTATTTTTTTCATTGATTTTTTAATTTATTTAAATAAACACACCTCCAACCCCATCTCCTCACATTATCTTACATAACCCACTATTTTTCTCTATTTAAATAATAGTATTTTTAGTTAAGATAGGGACCAAACGCGTAACAAAAACAAATAGTGGGGACCAAGCGTGTAACAAAAACAAATAGTAGGGACCTTCCGAGTTAAAAAAACAAGTTAGGGACCAAGCTCGCAAATTACCCCAAACCATAGGGACCATTCATGTAATTTACTCTAAAATATACATTTGTTTCAATCGATCGTTTTTTTAATAAATTCAAATAACTCAAAAAACCACCAAAAGAGTTTCATTTTCTTGTTATTCAGATGTGTTTTTAATAAATTCAAATAACTCAAAAAATACCCAAAGAATTAAGTTTTCTTTTTATTCGGTGGATGTTTGGGATTGCTTAAAAAGTGTGATTTTTGATTTTTGGTTTTTTCAAAAAGTGAAAAATTCAAAAAGATGTATGACATTTATAAAAACTTTTAAAAATAACTTTTTAATAAGATGGAATTAGTGGTTTTTCAAAGACAAAAAATCATGATTTTTTTTTTTTTTTGTGACTTTTACCTTCTTACAATGTAAATTAGTTTCAAAAGTCAAATAATATTTGGCAAACACTTTTTAAAACTAACTTTTATTTTTACTCATTAAAAGTTAAAATCAAAAAATTATTTAAAAAAAAAATTTTCACCTTAAAAAACAATCCCAATCAACCCTTAGATGCGACAAAAATATGAACTCTTAGTGGAATATGGCATGTGGCGGATGTTAAAAAAAAACTTTTCACTTTAAAACCATATATTTCTGGTTGAATAGGCTAGAAAAACAATTGTGCCACAAACCCTGCATCTTTCTTTCTAGGATTATTAATTTCTTTTAAATATATATATTTTTAATTTCTTTTTTATTGAATTATTACTTTTATATTGGAACTATTATATATTAATAAATATTATTTTTAATATGTAATATTTATGTATTAATTGATATTATTTTATTTGATTATTAGTTTCTTTTAAATAGTTCTTTTTTATTTCCTTTTTATGGATTAATTCTTTTTTTATTAAATTATTATATATTAATAAATATTATTTATAAATATATAATATTTATATATTAATATATATTACTTTATTGGGTTATTAGTTTCTTTTAGTTACTATTTATAATTCATTTTTATTGAATTAATTTTTTTGGACAACACCACCATCATTCTAATATATTTTAAAAACTTTCATCCATCCACCACTATCGGATATAAATAGGGTCAAGAATCATAAGTTGAGTTATAAAAAAATAAAAATTGCTAGAAAGAATAACAATGTAACATCAATTGAAAAATAATAAACTAAAAAACAACTTAATCGATATTCTATTTGAATTTTTAAATGATTATTGTTTAATTTTGATTTTGTATGACACTTTGTATGTTTTGTATAATTATTTAACAACTTCATCCATCACAGTATAAAATAGTAGAGTAATATTATCATTTTTTATCATTCAACACGGTCAATTAGATGTACAATCAAACACAATGGTTTCTTTCCCAATCAGGAAAACTTTCTCATACAGTACTTTCCTAAACAACACTTTCCTAGACAGAAATTATTAAACAGGACCTAACTCAGGCATAGTAACATAGAAATTCATGAGTACTCATAATATTATGTTGGAGGGCTCAAATTTCATCTCCAACTAGTATTGTTTTGTAAAGTTAGATTGAGTGTACAATTATCCAACTGTCTCAATTTTTTTGATGTATCATACTTTGCCAATTGGGTGCCGATTGACATAACTGCCGAATTATTGATCAAAGTCATAATCTTAGAATTATCAGTTTCCCACAAATATAGTAATGATGCATAATTAGTAGCTTTCTCTTATGTTAGTTTGCATATCACACTAGTAATTATGCATACATCTGTGTAGCACCCAGAATCAGAAAGACCAAGAAAGGAAAGAAAACCCTAAGTCAAATGGTTAACTCGTCGAGTCGGAGCAGGATCCGGGGATGGGGTAAGTGATCAACTTAGCGAGTCAGCCTCATGGACTTGGCGAGTCCGGTCTGAAGAAGGAAACCCTAAATCCGGGACTTTGGGCACCATTTAAGCATCTTATTCTCTCCATTAGGGTTCCATATAACCTCTCTCATCTGGAAACCGAAACCCTAAGCCCCCATTATTGCTCATTCAAGTTTCTTGCCAGTTTTGGGTGATTTGAAGAAAGAAGGAAGGAAGGAACCATTGGGGATTCAAGGGTTTGCAGTAGATCCAGAGTTTGAGGGCCTTTCCAGAGCAATTCAAAGCAAGGAGTCGTTACCTTCCCTCTTTTGCATCTATTTATAGGCTGTAGAATGCGAGTGTGTGGGGCGTACCTTCGGAGTACGCTGGGCGTAGTCAGTATACAGGGCGTCCGAAGTGCTATGCTGAGCGTACGGGGGGTAGTTGTCATCAATCAATGCGAAACCGTGGGGAGCAAGGGACAGTCCGGATTCGGCTACGTGTTAAAGTTCTTTATATCAACGCGTAGGTATCAACAGGATCTACAACTTTCGTTTAGACTCCTGAGCTAATTTTGAATTTATTTTGAAAGTTATATTTTAACAGACTTAGACAGTTAAAATCCGTTAAAAATTCATAACTTTGTCATTCGATGTCCGTTTTCATCTGTCTTTATTTTGTTAAGTTCTTGTTAATGAAATCTTTGATTCTTGTTTAGATTGTGTTGGCTAAAAATCGTGCGATCCAAAATTTGAATTTCGGGCTGTGCACTGTTGTGCTAAATCTTAGAAAAATCATAATTTCCTCATACGAAGTTAGATTTGAATGATTTTTTATGTACGTTCTCGGTTTAACGTATATTACAAATTTCGTTTAGTTCACTAAGGCTAAAAAGTATTTTATCGCAAACTCACTTTTTACGATACACAATGTCGTGCCGGTTTTGTAGCAAAACTTCGATGGGTCATAACTTCTTCGTTATAAGTCGGATTTAAGCGTTCCTTATATCCCAAAAATTCTTGTTACGGTTACTTCAACTTTATTCATAGATATTGGTTCCATCTAATATTTTATTTTTGAAGCATATTTTTTACTATTATTTTATTACATCGTTATAAGCACGTATATTGCACATAAATCACATAATACTCAAATAATTCCTCTTCGTTACTTCAAAATACGTTACAATTGTTGATCATAGCTATTACATCATCATAATGCTTAGCCTAAAAATATGGACGTTACAACATATGCTGACCAAGACCATCAGTAGGAATAATCATAAGAAAATCCTGAGCATGTGGTAGATGAAGACACTCAAAATCTGCTTTCTGTCTAATAGTCAAGTTGAAATGAACTTCCATGTCTTGGATAATTTACTAAAAAAGGCACTCGCCAATACACAAACATAATCAGAATCCATACCACATATGCTTCTATCTCGTACGATAATGGTCTTGTAACACCCACGATTGAGCCCGTGAGCCATAAAAGCATAGGGGGAAGCTTCTACCACTAAGTACAACCCCAAACCACCAAACCTAATGGGTAATGATGCAAGTCATCATTAAATGTCCCCAAAGAAAGGACCCCCACAAATTACAATGTTGTCAATCAAACCACGTAACCCATTTTCAATGAACAAAGCCACCTCTTCCATGTGAATGGGGTGGCATGTCATCATGCCAAAGAATAGTTTGACAATGCCCATGCAAGATCGACATTAAATGAACTCACTCTTAGGGGGTCACGGAACTGTGGAAGAAGGCACATCAAAACAACAACGTTGACAACTTTCTTCATGGCTAACCCGTTAATAAAACTCGCGTCTCTACTAACAGCCCCCTCCCCCAAGAAGGCTCACCCACAATATTGGCCGACCATTGTCAACACGGAACAAACCCATACGAAGCTTCTTACCATCATAAGAAGGCCAAATATGGATCACTTTTCTTGATATCCAGTTCAAAACCCAATCTAGGAC